TCTAAGTTAGTCTCTTTGGAACTAGGGAATATTCAGAAATACAGAAAAATTACCAGATATCTTTCAGTCTTCTGAAAAAACCTCATGAACAGTTATCATGAGGAAGCATGATGAGTAAAAAGAAGATAATACTTTTAATAAGAACTTCTTTTAATTATCAAAGTGCAGGGAGAGCTCTTTCGAGGGCCACAAAAGTCCCAGTTTAGAAATTACTGTATCGTTAACTCACATGAGTAATCCATTTGAAGTAAGTGCAATTTCCTGTACATTAAAACCTCAACATAAACCAGCATTTATATTTGAAGTTCATCACTGTGGCGGCCTAGGATGCTTTAGGAGCACTTCATACATTACAGAGACAGAACAACAACCTTGTAAAGTCCTCAAGTACAGGACACAGTCTGTCACAGAGCACAGCTAAGCTGTGGGGTCAAAATAAGGCCCTGTGTCTTCCAGACGCAAAATATTCCTCCCACTCCTTTTTGCAATGTTCTTTTTCCAATTGCAGTCTTGGCATACAAAAGAAGTTAAAATCCTCACTCTTTTAGTATTTGTTTGCTTAATTATGATTTGTTAAACAAGACTAAACTTCTCAATTTCTACTGCATAAGTTACATTTGGTAACAGTTAACTCGCATGTCTTTTTGTAAAGCACCAAGTACCCCTAATTCTAGTTAGAAAAGCACATATGATCAAGATAAAGCTGTGTACACTTTTATTTAGTCCTGGCATCCATCTGCTGCAAGACAAAAGTCTCAACACCTACTAGAGAATGTCTAGTGATTGGAGGAACTGAATGCCTCATTCATTGTGTGGTTAGTTTGTGTACAAATAAACAGGCTGTTCAAAAGGTTATCAGTCATCTAGGCATTAGCTAGGACTGTGTTTAGCCTTAAAATCTTATGTCTTTGAAGAACTACTGCATATTCTAATGCACTCAAGCATTCTGCATATACCCAACTTATCAACAGCTTCTCATCCATTCTGGTTTAAAAAAGGAAAATAAAGACATCTCCCATCAATTGCAGTTATCTGCAGACAGCAACGTTTTCAAGTCTTGCACAGCAGCTTCTAACTCTGATTTAGCAGCAGGCTATTTTTCAGTGAAAGCACAAGATACTTCTTTCCAGCAGAGAAGCAAGAGTGTACTGGAGCCAGCCCTACCACCTGAACTGAACTGTTAATATGTGAAGGCTATCACTACACATCAGAACCCAGCATCTGTCCCAAGCAAAATCTGCTCCCACCCAGAGCTAGCAAAAACCCCTTTCTACCTGCAAGTGCTACTTGAGGACACAGAGTTTCAATGGTAGTTCTGTGTGTATGGGTGGAGATATTAATATCCAGTTTCTCTCTGATGAGATTATGTAAAAAACACAAGATGTTTCACAGCAGTCCAAGTCACTCCTTTTTCTTGCACTAACAAGGATAAGGTTGAATCATCCTAATATAACCTTCGGAATACTATGACATAAGTCTGATAAGGTACCAACCCAAACTACAGATTACATTGAAAGACACCGAAAGTCACGATCAACACACACACTCCTCTAAAGCCACTACTTTGATACTGTTTCAAAAAACATGCAGAACAGGATCAATATGTATACTTTGTAATGGACACTTTTATTGAACCTGATTAACTAGAATGCTGCTGTTAAATGAAAACCTGAGAAAAGCAGAAACAAAACTTCAGAACAGAGACACTGCTGTTGGCATAACAGAACGGGAATGTGAACGTACACAGCCTGAACAAGTTCAATAATTAGACAGTTCTCAGGAATAAGCAGCAGTATTTCTGACAGGTATGACTCCACCCTAAAGTACCTCTTTTAAATTAATCTGATTAACCATTAAAGCTCCAATATGGTCACTACCAGAAATAATGAAGTACAGACTTGGACAAAGGTCGTCTGTTGCTTCATGAAACAGAAGAGTCATCTCAGTGAGAAATTCCAGGGCAGACTTCTAATCAAACTGTGGAATTTAGACTGGGAAACCTGTGGAGATCCATGCAGCTTCTAAGCAGACATTCTCCCTCATCTCTCCAGGATAATGTTTCATTTTTCCTCTGCTTCCTCTCTCTAGACTGGAGAAAAGAAAGAGACGCATTGTGAAGATTGGAACAGCTTAGTTATAGGGTCTCTTTTCAGACTTGGTGCTGGTGCTACTGGAAGCTTCCTTCCACAGCAGGTTTTGCTCCATCCACTAACTTCAGCAGCTGTTCACACTGCTAGACAGCTTTCATTCTAGTTAAATATTGAGGTATTCAAACAGAACCACAAAGAAAAGTGATTCTTGAGCTCTGTGCTTACAGTTCCCCTTAATGGGATTCTTGAGCACCCACACACAATCTGTAAACTTTTGTTGAGTAAGGGGAACATCCTGGTTTGATCAGTATTGCTCCTAGTTAGGAGAAGAAGACAGCTAAAGTTACATATTTGCACTGTAAATCCAGAGCACTGAGATAGCAGCTTCTGATGCAAAGGGTGAGTCTCTCCAAGAACACGTATTTACCAACGACTTTACAGTTGTTGCTAACAGCCTTACCAGCTTTTGCATGCTCCTACTGCCATTTCAAGTTCTAGTTCCTACAGTACCTGCAGATCCAGTGAAGGGCAGTAAACAAGACTTATGTTTTTTCTGCTTTACTGTGCCTACAGAAAAAACTATAAACAAGAAAAAACTGAGGTCAAGAGACTCAATTCAGCGTGTGTGTGCGAGGAAAATCACTTCTGTCACACTTCAGAGTTCTAACACTTGGGTCAAAAAAAATAGGACACAAGTCAGCTTTCTCTTCTTGGCTCTGTCATTTGCTGCCCACTTGTTTCAAGAGAGCCACCTTGGTATCTCAGGGTGCCCTCTCCCATTTATTTTTAACAGATGGGGAAAACAGTCACCTACCTCAAAAAGCCAAGAATTAGTCAACACTGGAAAGCACCAGGCTGCTTGCAGACACCTATGAAACAGAAACTTCAAGAAGCTGGGACACAGTCTTTTTTCAAAGCAGAAGTCTCTGCCCTAACATTTGAAACCTCTCTTTTCCTGTTCTTTTTGCAAGTTCATATGCCACAATTGTAATGGCATGTGAAAGACCCCTTGACCTTCAGGGCAAGTGACTGTAATAGCAGATTGCAGACACTGTTCCCTCATTAAAGACATAAAAATGCCAAGAGTGACCTAAGCCTCTTTCTTGTTTGCTCAGACACACCTTATGCAAAGGCCTACAAGAAAATTCCAAGTTAAGAAAGAATTACTACCAAAACTGGCTACAACAGAAGCAGCCTCAGCCCTAGATGTACACCATAGCACAAAGCCAAGGCATCAAACACCTCATGGTGTTGCTACTGGCTTCCCTGTTAGCTGCCACTTGATGAATTAGGAATAACCCACCAAATTCAGCTGGCAACTGAGGTGCCCAATCATCAGACCTTTAATTTTACTCTTTAGAGTAAGACTGATGAAACAGATGATATTGTGGAAAGAAACAACTGACTTCTCTGAGATTAAACACCCTCTCCTGAATAAAAAGTATCTGAAGGAAGTCACACAATCCATCATCTGATAGATCATTCTAAAAACAAGAACACCAAGGCATCTCGCTTATTTTACCACAGAAACCATCTCATAACTTACAACTATGTACCAGTGTCCAGTAAAACAAACACCTGCCCCATAACCATGTCCCAGAACTGTCCTCTCAGGACAAGTAACTGAAACGTGAAAGATCCTCTTAAGAACTCTAACTTAATGAAGTTACTTTAAGGTAAGCGAAGTTCCAATCGAGACTATTAGATTTGCTTGGTTTACATGCACGTTTTCATCTTTCATAGCTCTACCTCCACACTGTTTGAAGCTTTTATCCTTTTTTAGGCAAAAGACAAAAAAGCTCTAGAGCTTACCTCCTTCAAACCCAGACCTAGTAACCCTATTTGCAACCAGCTGAAGTCTTTCCATACTCTACTCTTCAGCTGAATCTTGGTAAGGCTTTTAAATTCACTCAGAACTACAACCAGTCCGATCAAAAGGAACCTCCAGCACTTCCCTGAACATGAGTCACAAACCCCGATATAATCAAATCCTTTGGGAAGTTTAGGCCCTAAACTTTCCTAAACACAGAGGATTTTTACCGTAGCACACAACACTGAACATCAATCTGCTTCCCTTCCACCCATGCAAAACAAACAGACCCCAAGGAATTTAAGAAGGGGGGCAGAAACAAAACCAAACCACCACAGAAACAAACCCCTTCAGGTATCAGTCCCTCAGCCTCACCGAGGCTGCTCAAAGCTCCTTCTCAAGTTTAAACGCCACCACCATAATGCAGCAACTGTTTAGAGCAGGGGCACTGTTTTATCCCCCTCACGACGGCAATATAGAGAAGCTTCCCGTCCCTCCCGGGGCCCGCCGGACTGACCGGTGTGCTGGGGAAACCCGGTCGCCCCGGGCCCGCCCGAGCAGCGTTTCCCCGCCCGGGTCAGGGCGGGCCGCCCGGCTCCAGGCCGCGGCCGTGTGGCGCACTCAGTAAAGCGCTCGCCCTCCGCCTGCTGCCCGGGCTCCCACCGCTCGGGGCAGAGAGGAAACGCGCCCCATGCCCCTCCGGGACACCGCAGGGATGAGGGAGGCCAGGGACAGACCCTCCGCTCGCCTCGGCGCCCTTCCGTTGCTCAGGGGGCTCTCTCCTCTCTGCCCCGGGCCCGGCAGCCCTTTGTTCCGGTCGGCGCCTCCGCCGGAGAACCCCCCCTCCCCCGAAAGACCGCGGGGCCGTGTCTTGGCGGGGAGGAGAGGCCGAGTGCCCGCTAACTTTTGTGAGGGCCCCGGTGCGGAGGAGCCCCAGAGCCCCGGGGGGAGGCGGGCCCAGGCCCCTCGGCAGTGCCCCCGGTCCCGCGGCGGGCGGAGGCCGCGGCCCCCCCGGTGCTGAGTCACCCCGTGGCGGGGCTGCGCCCCCTCCCCGCGCCCCGCAGACAATGGCGAGGGCGGGCCGTGCCCCGGCCCCGCACCGTGATGTTGCAGTGGATGGTGAGCGGCGGTGGCGGCTGCGGGCCGGAGCCCGGCGGCGGCGGCAGAAGCACGAACTGGCAGTGGAGCTCGTCCAGCTTCCAGGAGACGATGCGGAAACGCTCGTGGTCCTTGTCGAAGATGGACTCGAGGAACTTCAGCTCGGCCTTGAGCCCTGACACCGACATCCTGGCCTCATCTCCGGGCCCGGGCCTGCGCCGCCTCGCCCGTTCTGCCGCCGCTTCCCTCCGCCTCAGCCCGGCCCGGCCCGACCCGACCCTGGCCCCGGCTGCGGGGCGGAAGATGGCGGGGGTGGGGGTGCCGGGGCAGCCCCAGCCGGAGGGGGGACGGCGAGCGCGGCGGCAGCTCCCTTTGTACCAGCCTCCTGCACCCACTCGCTCGCTTAAAAGGGCAACAGCGCAGCCCGCACCCCCCTTCCTTCCCCTTCCTCCCCGGAGGGCTGGGCCAGGCCCGCTACCGCCCCGCCTTCGCCCAGCCCTCCTCTCGGGACACAGGCAGCGGGGCCGCACCGGGCCAGCCCCTCGCTCCGCCCCGCTCCGCCCCGGGGCCGCCCTTGGTCAGCGCCGCCACCGCCCCGGCTGCCCCGACCCCTGCCCAGCACCGGCCCCCCCCCCGGGGTCGGACAGCAGCGCCCGCTTTCTCGCAGTCTTCCTCCTCCTTCGCCGCCGCCGCGGGTCAGCCCCGCGGTGCTCCTGCCCTACCGTGCTGTTAAGATCGTGCCGAGCAAAACCTGGCGCTTGGGTTCGCACTTGTCACCCCCGAGTCCTGCCAGCCCTCCTCGAGGTCTGCCAACGCAAACCAGCAGCGCCTGCCCCACACTCCGGACGGATCGGTGCAAGTAAAACCTGGTGTCGATCGCGGCAGGCTGGAAAACAGCAACACAGAGGCCAAAAAAAAAGTGTTAGTGTTGCATTTAGGCTCCTCTGTAATTGAGCATTTTACCCCCAGAAAAAGCACCACAAAGCATGAAAGCAGAGTAAAGTGAACACTCGCTACATTCCAGGAGTAAGAGGTGCTGCCTCTATTTCTATCAATTCCTGACACTAGAAAAATCCTCTTTGCACCTTTATTTGTCCCTTTCCATCTTGGTTTTGCCTGTAGACAGCTGACAGCTCTTTGGGAACACATGGCATAAAGAGAGCACTGTGATACCAGTTACAGTTTCTTGTTTCCCAACCAGCTCTTAATTAATGCATTACACACATGCACATGCACAAACCTGGAACAGAGAATTGATTTTTTTTTTCAGCATTGATATTTTATATAAATCTTTAATTCCAGAGAAACTGGCAGCACTTCACAAAGCACAAGCTGAATCTTGTCAAGTGGTGAGAACTCTAATCTTGATCCAGAAACAGTCATGCACATGCCCAACTCCGAGCATATGGAGTCAGTCTTACTGATTTGTGGGCTTGAAACCTCCTATCTTTCCACCACAGAGAGATGCAAAGAACACACTTAGCTACAAAAGCCAGGAAGGGTTGGCAGTGGTTAAATACTCTGAATGAAAGATACCAGAAAGTCCATGGAGGTGAAAGATCTGTTTTTTTCAGGTATCATTTGAAAGACTCCTATTATACAGCGTGTGCAACTCGCCTTTCCTAGAAGGGCTGAGCTGCATGTTGGCTCAGACTGCGTGGCCTGCAAAGTGAAGACAGAGTGGATATGGCTTGTCTGCCGATGCATCAACAGGCAGGGTCAAGACCTTTCAGGGACAAAAGAAGATATAAGGGCAAACCAGCTACAAATTAACAGCAGAAAATTATAACTAATCCTTTTAGAAAGGGAGGGCCCACAAGAGCCTTTCTATGGGAACACCAGAGACAAAACTAAACAAATCAGACTTTGTCAGGCATTACATGATGTGATGCATGAAACAGCAGGGGAATGAATTTGGTGACTCAGCCCTATCTCCCTCACACGACAGGAGTTTGGCCTAGAACGCCTCTCTGCAGTAGATAGGTGGGTAGGCTGAGCAAGTTCAAACTGCACCATTTGTCATATCTTACCAGAACTGCCACTATCACTGCCTCTGGTCTCCCATCCTCCTTGTCTTCTCATTCTCATCCGTCTTCCCTTTCCTCTGGCTCTCTGTTGACTGTGACACCCCATTTTTTGGCAGCTGATAAGTGCATGTGTGCTGGCTGGGGACACCTTGCCTGCATTAGCTGGCCAGCTTGTTGAATGCACAAGAACTTCTCTCATGAACCGAGCGATCCCAACATCATGGTGTCTCCTGACCACCTATGAGGCCAAACTAATTGCTTCATTGGCCAAGGGTGTCCTGCAAGCCATATAGTGCTTAAGTCTGGTCTAGAACTGTTCCCAGCTCCTTCAGTCTGCTTTTTTTGTTGCAGGCTTCAAGAAGCAACATGCAGCTGCACAGCCACCACTCCTCTAAATTCTGTTTCGCTTCTCTGTGTTTAGTAGGCATTGTGCAAGCTGTGAGTTCATTTCTGTGATAAGACCTTAAGAACACATTGGGCCTGCCTCACTCCCTGGAATAGAGAGGCTGCTTCAGAGGTGTAAAGAGTAGCTTGTCATGTCTGACTCATTCCTGTTTCTTCCTTCAGGAACTTGCTATGGGGCTTTGACATGAATCTCATGTTGGTCTCAGGATGACTCAGGAAATCCTCAGTCTCCCAAGACCAAAATGAATGCACATGGGAAGACCTGACATAGCTGGGTAATAAAGGAAATGAATGCTGGTAAAGACCCTCAGGAGCATTGTATCAGATTCCAGCCATTATAGATGCTTTTAAGTTCCCTTGCTCTATATTGCATGTTAGCAGCATTTATTTTTCTACTTTTCTTCCTGCATGTACATCTTCAACATTGTGGGAACCTTCCTTTATCATACAGCTAGGTTTCCTCTTCCATGGATCTGAACTTTGGCCAAACCTCTCTGTTATGAAGATAACAGACCTTTGTAACCTTCTGTTTCTTTTCCCCTCCCTTCCACTGAAATATAACAAGTTTTGTAACTTAATTGAAACCTTCAGAAAACACCCAGCAGATTCCTCATTGCTTTGGGGGGTAAAACCGGCAGGAAAAAAAGGAGGCAATCAGTTTAGATCAAATTTTTCCTTCCCATTAGCATTTACTGCCAGTCCTGTCTCCAGTTAGCCATGTTCCTGGTGAGACAGAAAGCCAGCAGCAAGGGGTGAAGGGACTCAAAGGAAAGATGAGCTCAGGATGAGCCACTAAGAAGGAAATGAACAAAGACATAGGATAGATGGGCTTTGATGATAGTAAGGTTTGTTTGGAGCTTAAAGAAATGACGTTTCATAGCACAGATGAATTTCAGTTTATATTAGTCCTTTTCTTCCTGTGAATGCCCTTTCCATGTCTGCTGTATTCCCAGCTCTACCACTGAGTGAATCTCCTGGTACATTCAGTGAAGTGTTTGTGCCTAGCAGAGGGCCGATTTGTTTCTCTGAGAAGTTTATGGGTTTGGTTTTTGACCTCACTTCTCTCATTTGCAGCCTAGCCCTTCGAAAGGGTCCTTCTCTTTAATTCTGATGTCACTTTCCTGAGAGAAATAGCAGGCACCAAAGAAGCAACTGTGATTTTAGAATTAAGAAAGGCACAGAGCTTTTGTAATCCTGAACCTCAGCAGAAGCAGAAAGCAAAAGGGATAAGATTAATTAGATGGGAGGAAGTGTAAATTACTTTTAGTGACAGATGATGCAGTTTGATAATAGCTGATCCTGGGGTAGAACAGACACTTAAACTTTTTTCCACAGGTAGCAACACAAACTCAGACTAGAAAAGACAAATAGCACCTGGTACCCATGAAGAGAACGATAAGGCAGGAAACTTACCTGAAGCCTTGGGCAAAGGCAGAAAGACTTAAGAGGATCCTGCTTTTCCAAGGCACAACCCAAGCAGTTCTGCTTACCAAAGATAGGCTTCCACATCAACTTCTAAGCTCAGCATCAAAGTCATTGCTTCCATAATGAAGTCACTTTCAAAGCATTTTAGAAAAGCCATACATCAGTGCACAAAAGCTGATGAAATGGCTAGACAATGCAGCTTCAAGCAGCATGGCATGCACTGGACATGGGATTGCTTAGTCTCTCACTTACTTTACTTTTAAAGGCTTTAACAGTTAAGGAATGGCATTTCAGAACAAACATATCCCAGAGCAGCTTTGGACAGATAGCGATACTGTTGCCCAGACATTCAGGGACAGGGGTCAAGGAGGTGTCGACTCAAATACTATGGCCATGAGTTTAACACTAAAAAGTAAAACATACTACTACTACTAATAATAATAAAACAAGTAGCATGGCTTTACCCAGGATGGGCAAAGAGCAGTTTCTAGTTACAATTCTTCCAAGTCCATCCCTGTGGCTACCAGCATCTGAGTCAAATATGTCCCTTGTTTAGTGTGATTTTGCTCAGCCACTGAAGTGTTTGCAATCCTATACAGGAAAAAGCAATAACCTTCCAGTGAAGATTTTATTTTGCTTGTGGATTTGTAGTTCTGGCTATTTTTATATATACATATTACTGGACAACATACATTTCAGAACAGTCAAAAGCTGAATGTGTCTGCAAAGGTTAACAGTATGTTTGTGTTCCATATGAAAGTTGTGGGAATTAATTCATTAGCAGAAAGGTGCCACAGGAAAAGAAAGCAAAGCCATGTTAATCACAGTCTTGCAGTGCTGCAGATGGGGATTAGAATCCACTGTGCAAACACATCAGAAACCAAACTCTTTGTGCATATTTAAAATGCAGAGGGAGGGAATATGCCTAGTGTTCTGCTTTATGGCTTGTATAGCTTCTTAAAGATACATGAAAATCACATATATGAAAGCAAGAGGGAACCATGCAGCCAAATCTGGGGCACGATTTTAATAAAATAACAGAACAAGGTAGAGAATAAAGGAAAATCTGATGCCATTTTTTCAAATCAAGCTGGATAGAGGAAGTGGTAGCTGCATGGAGCAGCGTTCAGAACATGGTAACACACCTTCCCTGGACTCCCTAGGATTTCCACTCCTTCCTTGGGATCCATAGAGTCATAAGCCTTATAGGGCTCAGCAAGCTTATCTTCCCTTGCCATCACAGAAGCTTAAAAGGGATATACAGGAGCAGAGGTCAGATGCCAGGCTCAGTCCTGCTAAACAGATTCCTGGCTGGAGGGGGAGGCAGGGAAATAGATCCCTAGGTCAAGTACTCACAGTGCTGAGATGCAATCTTAATCTCACAGCTGAATACGCAGCTCCTTCATCTCCTTACCATTTTCTTACTTTGACAGGCAGTGGTCTGTACTTAAAACATCAGCACAGAGCATCTGAGCTGGCAAGCACTGAGATGAACTGAGCAGCTCACAGTTATTGCTTCAGACTCTGCAAGCACAGCCAGATATCCCTGCATCACTTAGCCTGGAAAACACAAAACAAACACATCTCAGCAACCACACCAGCC